TGCATACCGGGTGTTTCAAATTCGATACCATCGAAATCTCGGAACCGGTAAGAGGTGGGATGGCGGATAAATGAAGGCAAACTTGCGCAATTATGTAGCTATGAAAGAGGCATTTGGAAAGTTCCGCAATTCGAGTAATTCTGGAGAAATTTTCTCAAAATCATTTTTGTTTTTTCCTAGCGTTATTTGAGATGGGATTTCAAAATATGTAAAAATTTCTTCGACATTGCTACTTTTTCTCCTCTACATGATGGCATAATTCGAATTTCAATATGCCGTTTCGTCCCTTGTCCTCAATCAACAACTGGTTGCCTTAGAGTTATACTGTTGTATGTACGTGTGTGTTTCGAGTTATGGCATAAAGAAAATTTTCATTTATGTTACACCTTTACTACTGAAAGGAATGTTTTGTAACAATTAATCCTTAAATTTAACTTTCTTGCTGTACGGTTTTTCTAAAAAATACTTAGGAAAAGTTGTTAGATTACGTTTTTTTGCTGCTGGAAAAATCACATACAACTTCGTTATCTTACAAAACGTATGTATTTAAAGCAAAATGTTACATACAACTTTATAACACATTCAGGTAGGATAAAGCAACATACTAAATATTCAAACATATGTTGAAATGAGACTTTCTCAACACTTGAAAAAATGCAAATGAAAATTTAAAATTATTTCCATGACGTCGCAAAATACGAGTAGCTCCGTCGGTACCTTGGGTTATACATCTTGACAGTAGGGATGTTCGATACGATCCTATATTTGGAAGTATCAATACATTTCACGAGTATCGTCATCTTTCGATCCGGACTGTGTCATTTTCAAAGAAATTGTACAAAATCTTCAAATATGTGAAGTTAGCGAGTTTCACTTCATACGTTGTTACCAGACGTGCCCAAATCATCAGTTGCTGCCGTGGTATTCATCCCGACCACTGCATCCCCACGGCTAGGCGACCTGTATGTTGAATTTGTATTGATAGGACAGCGGGTTATGCTATAAATCATATGTCACAGTGTTTGTGCACTGATTGCAACGGTTAGATGATACCAAAAATATTTTCATAAATAGGAGATCTTTCCCATTCCGGATCGAACAATCTACCAAAGATGCTTATAATCATGATACCTAGTAAATTTTCACGAAAAAAGTTCAAAAACAGCAAATGTAAAAGTTTCATTTCGCACCCTCCACCACGGGACGTGATCGTCGTTAGACTTGGCAACCCTGCGAGTGTCAGATAGACATCCCCGCCAGTCAAAAAAGAAAAATAGACAAACAATAAACATTACTAGTTTTTTTTGATTTTTGGACTTGAAAGCTATTATCTGTGAAACATTTTTCATAATTTTTTGTCTATGTCCATAGTAATTGCATTATGCATCAGGGAGATGTAGGGATAGCAAAGTAGGGAATATACTACCACATATTCTGCTCGAAATACTCAGAGGCGTTATCGAAAGTTGGAATTCCAAAATGGAGCACGTTGACCGCATTTTTCTAAGACTGAATGTAAAGAATGCCTCATATCCATTTGCACTCAATCGCTGAAGCAAAGCATTGCGTAGGATGGACTTTAACTCAGCTGCCTAACGGGCAGGCAATAAACACAACCTCACAAAACACACTCCAGATCCGAAGTTTCAAATGTGAAACAAATAGTTTAACCTTCTTTTGAGACTTCTAATAACAGGTATATCGAGGCACGTATCATTCAGCAAACATAGATAATAACAAGGAATTGACTCTACAAACAAATGGATATCTCAATAAAATATTACGCTACCTATCCGTAACAACCTAATGGATTCCATATAGTTGGCAATTAAAATCAATTATTCACGATAAGAAGCAGCAAAACGTGACATCGTCTCCAATTTTAAACAAACATCTCCACATTAACATAACTTCACAAAAAAACGTAAAAGTTTAATTATTGAGCACGTACCAGTAAATAATGTCGTTTTAAACATAATTGAAGGCAAATAGCTTAATTTACTTTGTAGTTTACAATGCTGGCAATGCTAATGATGTTTCATAAATCATCAACGTTTGTTGCTTGCCGTGACGAACGATATTTGTACCAGATGGTTGAGTTTTATTTGGTTTATTCTGTTGTTTCGTCAAGTGGTGAATTTTTTTGATAATGAATTTGAATATTTTCATTTCATGAAACCGCAAGAGGTATTTACGTCAAGGACTTGTTATTTATGTCAATATTAAATATCTCATGTAGATTTCGAGGAAAAAACTGGCACACAAGTGGACCTAGAAACAACGTCACCTCATTGGAAACGGTAACAGTAGTCTATAAAATATTATAAAATAGCGTCGGTATGACTAGGTTTTTATCCTTTTGGTGCCAAGATTGAGGTATAATCTGCTCTAGGATACTTTTCCCATTTCTGTTATCTTGTTAATTGAATATAATAGTTAGCTTATAGCTGTTCTGTCACTTAATCCCTAACAAAAATAAATTAACATCAAGAATATGTAAATACAATATAGCGTCTAAATTATAGTCCGGCTCCAGGTACTAATACTATATATAAATATTACCGAAATCTATCTATGGTATCAAAATTATGTTTTAAAAGGACCCGCATAGTTCATGTTCATAATTTAGAAAAATGAGGTGTGATGATTGTGAAGTTTGTTGTCCAAAAATGATTTTCTTAACTTGCTTTTTGAAATCGTTAATGCTTTGAAGCCTCGTAGATGGTGGCAATGCAACGTAAGGAATAATGGTAGTATAAGTAAGGTACTTATGGGAGAATAATGTCTTGTGAAGAGGCACGATAAATAACAAATATTTCTTGATTTGGTACACCCAGGAAATATTAGCTTGTCTTTAAAAAATGGAGGAAATGATGCGGTTAGAACTTTGTGTACAAAACATAATAAGTGGAACTATATTTTTTGTGACAATTAACCAATTCAGTGTTCAAAATAGTTGCTGATGTGATCATACCTTCATAGGTTAAAAATCAATCCCGAACAGGAATTTGGTATTGTTTGCAAACGTTTCACGGATACAGAATCTAAATTTGGATGATATAATATAATATCGCAGTAAGTGATTTTTGATATTATCACAGATTTTTTTGTTTTTGAAATAAAGTATTTGCAGGCTAAGACCTAACTGCCGTAGAACAAACAGCAAAGCATCTTTTAGTTATGTAATTTACGTGAGGTATGAACTTAAGGTTTTTGTCAAAAAATACCCCAAATTTTTTTATTGTGCAATTTGCATGACATTGTCGCTTAGTCTTATGTTGAAGTTATTTTTATATGGCTAAATCGGTTTGATAATAAGTGATGTTGAAACTGATGGAGTCTCTGGATCTTATGAGTTTTTGTTTAGGAGTCGCAAACCTTGACGTTGCTGTACAAAAAGCTAGCCTATGGTCAGTTAACAAGTCCATATTCATGATCTCAGCTTTGCATAAAATACCAGGGGAGAGCGGGGCTATACCGTACAACGAGGCTAAACCGTACACCCGTTTTTCGCCTCTAGATTTTTCGCTCGTCGAGTCCGATCGGTGTCGGAACCTAGCGGCAGAATTTTGCAGGATTGAGTTCGTTCCGGTGTGGGTAAGTACCAGTGAGACGGTGAAAAACTTCTTTTTTTATGTTCTCTTATAATTTTGGGGTAGTGCCAAATAAGAGGTGAGTGGAGAACCTTTACTTATAAGCTAGTAACTATAAGATCATAAGAAACTATTTTTCTTATGATCTTATTAGTATTTCGAGTGACGATTAGTTTGACGGTGGAATTTGTGGTTAGGTTATTAAACTCCCACGAGGTACATGATGGGGCAAAACCGTACAGACGTGTACGGTATAGCCCCGTTTCTATACGACTTAGCCCCAAATGGTTTAATATTTTTTTATAATTTTATACTCCCCCCGCCCCATTATTATTTGTAGCCTATTAAAAAACATAACATGCCAGCCATAACATTAAGGTTTTTTTACAGATGGTCTAAAAATATGAAAGGACAACCCAAAGAGCCAAATGGACGGAAGAAGCAATGAAGGCAGCTATTCATGACATCATATAACATTCCAGTTATGACCTTGAGTGATAGACTTAAGGCTCGTGACTCTAAAAAGTTAGCTTTAGGGCATAAACCTGTATTCACGCAAGAGCAAGAAAATGAAATTGCAGAACAAGTTTTACTTCTAGCTAAAGTGTTTTACGGCATTTCCTCGGTTGAGCTTCTCCGCTTTGTGTTTGAGTATGCTGAGAAAAATGGCATTCCACATCAATTTAACAAATCAGCTAAATTAGCAGGGCGAGATTGGTTTAATGGATTTTTGAAGCGGAACCTAAGAATCAGCATTCGCAAACCAGAAGCAACAAGCATAAGTCGAATAACTGCGTTCAATAAAGACGAAGTGACTGTGAAATGGACAAACACGAGTTTACGGCCTCAAGGATATATAATTTTGATGAGACGGGGATCTCCACGGTCCAAAAACCAGGAAAGATTTTAGGCCCGAAAGGAATTAAGCAAGTGGGTGCTGCTACAAGCTGGGAACGGGGGAAAAATATCACTGTGGGCTGTGCAATGAGTGCTACTGGTGAATATATTTCACCAATGTTTATCTTCCCTCGCCAAAGAATGGGCCCTAATTTGGCAAAAGGTGGACCATAAAATGCAATTTACCATTGCAGTCATAACGGGTGGATAACCGAAGAACTATTTGTCACCTGGTTACACCATTTCATATTCCATGCTAAGCCAACTAAAGAGCAGCCTGTGCTTCTCGTAATGGACAACCGCAAAATCCACACTACCTTAACAGCGTACCATGTTTGCAAGGAGAATGGAATAATTGTGGTGACACTACCTCCACACTCGTCACATCGCCTTCAGCCATTAGATATCGCTTTATTTAGCAGCCTGAAAGCATCAAGGAATGTGACAATTTTCTAAGGTCACACCATCATGAGAAGATAACACCTTACGATATCGCTGCTATTTTTAACAATGCTTATGTTAAGGTTGCTAATAGGTATAGCAAAAGGTGTAAGTGGTTTCGCATCGGCTGGGATATTCCCTCTTGATCCGGAAAAATTCACAGAAGAAGATTTTGCAGTGCGACTAGAGGTTGAACAGAGATTACCTGTTATAGAAGACAAAGATGTTGCTGTTGGTGTAGCCTTGAGGGATACTTCAATCTCCAGAGTCGAGGACAGCCCAACTACAGCCCGAATGGATACGGATATGAACGAAGACCTAACCCCAGATCACATAGATGTCGGGTCTCTGTAGAATTCACCTACCATGACTTGTTCGGATGCTGGTGCTCAACCTCAATCAAAAGTAGTATCTTTTAAATCTCTTTGCTTCACGCCTCAGTCTAAAATAGCGAAGATAACAACATTCAGTTATTTTTACGAAGTCCCCAAATAAAGCACAACTGGAAGAGTCAGCTACAGTGAAAGCATTAAAGAAAAAAATTCAACAACTACAAGAAGATATGAAAGTTAAAAAGGAAGAGAAGAAAATATCAAAACAAGACAACACGATACCCAAAAGTAAAACTATAGGAAACTCTAAGAGAAGAATCCGCAATTTCAAGACAGCAGCATCTGGGAAGTCAAAAAGCCGAAGAAATATTAGATTTGATGATTCATCATCAAAAGATGACCCCACTAACATAAAAGACATTTGCCAAGATCATTACTTGGACGATATGGATCCAAAGAATTCATTTCTACAAAAATGATTAACAACAGCAGCCTCAGGCTCAAAGGATTTGTGCCTCTTGTGTGGAGATTTTGGCAAGGACAAAGAACTCTGGTTTAGTTGCTGCTCATGCGCTAGGTGGATCCATTCGGCTTGCAGTGGAGCCGAGTCTGCAGATAACTTTATTTGTGAATTCTGTATAAATGTATAATGTATAAATGCATATTCTGTATAAACCTTAATTACTTTTTTCTATCAACTTTATAACCATTTTCATAAAAGTTAACTTAACATTTCTTATACTTTTGTAAGCTAAACTAAATACCAATAACAAAAGTTTCATATAGCGTTTCTTACTTGATGTTTCAATAAGTAATAAAATCTTTTTTGTTTAATAGTTTATAGCATTACTTACTATTACTTACTTCCCTAATCAGATGATTGTTTTACTATACGGTGTAGTCCCGACCCCCGGGGCTATTTCGTACACGAGCACTTTTTCGATAATTTAATTTTAAAATGTAAATAGTGGAACGATTCTAATTTCTTTGGGTGTAATTAGGATTCAATGGTCCAAATTATAAGTTGCTTTGTTTTTTATATCTTTATACTTAATATTAGCTTACCACTGACAACTCTCGCTAAACTGTAGGTTATAGCCCCGCTTTCTATAGGCTTCATTTATAAGCTGTTGAAACCCATATATGTATATCGAAGGAATCTTGTAGCTTATTATTTAAAAGTTTACTTTTAATTCCACCATAACAACAATGTGGGCAAAACTAGGCAACAGTACCGATGTGTCTGCTTTTGCGGCTGCTTCAGTATAAAAAAATAGATATAATTTTGAGAAAGATAACTTTCAAATAATACATAAATTTGAATAATGCATAATAGTTTCTGTTATATTAGTGGCTTCAAATTTTTAATCATCGGGATACAAATGAAATAGGTCTTCTGAATGAGATTGAGAAGCAAAACAAATTACACAAAGTATGGGCACTATACACGAAAAAGAATCACTGTCTACTTTTTTAACGCTTGTGTATAATCTACGTATGTTCGAAAGAAAATATGGATGTTGTTTTATGAATCAACAGATTAGACGTTGAATATTATCCATCTTATATCACATTGAGTTTAATTTTGTTGAAGTGTCCCCACATATAACATGAGGTTCTTCATCAAGGCGGCGCCAGCGAAAATATTCATCTGTATAACGTCAAGTTGCCTTACTGCTGATATTTCGATATTTAAACATAGCGCAAACTTCTGAAACACTCTGTACAGTCCGCATGCCGTCGACAGCCGTCGTTACCCTATGGTCACCCTTCGGCCCTTACGCTTCCCTGATTTTCCGACCCTCCGAGCTGAACACACACGCACAGATCTAGAGGGGGAGCATGCTTCACTGAGCTATTTTTATGCCTACGGATCTAAAATGGCGGACGCTCGTCCGACGTTGCTACGAACAAAGACGTTTTTTGCCGTGGCTGGCTACTCAAACAAAAAGACAAGGAACAAAAAAACTACCGAAGTTTGTAATGCCGGAATTTTTATATTAAGGATTTTTTGCTCGGGGTTGACATGTGGTCTGTGGTGTGATGAGAATATTGAGGTAAAGGGGAAAGTACTAGTCTTTGGAAATAACACTGCTTGGTTTTTGTCAACAACAGTGATAATATTTCCCTAATGTCGTGTAGAGTCCATAAAACTTTCAAATTGAGAAACCACTATCATTTACCCCCATCTGTCTCATGGAAGCTATGTGGTTATTATCTATCTAGATAATAAAGAAATTTCGTATGTTAATGATACTGCACGTAGCTGTTCAGAATTGGACTCATATGAATGATCTTCTGCTGCAACGGTGTGAAACGTAGTCATATTGCTAAAAAAATATAGGTTGTATGGCTCGCACGCACCATAGTTACCAACTTCTGTCAATCGATGCCGTATAACCACTTATCAGATTTTTCCAGACAGTGGAATAATTTTATAGCAACTCTCGTCGATCTTCTATCAGCCTCTCCTACTCGAGGTGTGAGAGTCTCCCAGATACGGTATACTCCCCAAAACCCCTCAATCGTTACCGCCACGGAAGTGCATAATAGCACTTCGTCATGGTGGCTTGGTAGGTATTGTCGCATTAAGATTCGTACCAAAGATATTTGTCCCAACCCTTACCTTCTTCCATACATTGCATACTCTACAGACAGAGAAAGCTATTGTCTGTTTTTTTTCAAATACCTTGCTCGGCATCGTTCATCTCATTATTGGTTGAATTTCAAGCCATTTGCCCTCGCCTCCATGCTTTTGCAAAATTCTCAGCGGTGAGCCTCTCGCCGAGCGTCGGCTCAAGTTGTGTCTGGCAGTCAATCAATCAAGGATGTCCTCAAGACTAGTACTTTCCTTTACACGCCGTATAGATCTTGGAAAAATAAGCAGCTTTTCCAAGTAACATATAAACCAAAGTCTTAAGATTACGGAGATGTTAGACTTCTCAAAGTCAACCGAACCTGAATAAAACCTAATCTGATACTGCATCTTGGTCAGACTAAACGTGGACACATACTCGTGCTGGCCGCCTTGGCGAACGAAAACAAAAATGGCACAATCTTTAAGCAACATCGGAGTTGTCGATATTATTTTAATGTACGGTGAGTGTCTTCGAACTGCTACCGAGGCTTCGCGAGTGAATGCAGATCAAGAACCTTCGTGATTTCTTTTTCTGCTTGGTGCGAACTGGAAAGTTTGGTGTATAAAAATGAGCTGAATACGGTTGACGAAATGCATGTGCGAATATAGAAATCTGCTGTATTCGTTCGGGAAAAGCTTACTCCGATGCTTGGTTACGTAGATCACATACATGGGTCTTTGAATCTATCGCAGACAAGTTTGAACAATACTTATTACTTACAAGTGACAGAGCGGACATTTTGTTTCGTTGAATGGTGAGTACTTTTTCATTTTTTCTACTCTTTCGCTGTTGTTCTACCACAAATTAGCTTTGTTATTTCAAACGAAGTCGTTTCTGAAAGCAAAGTCCAAACTTGTAGGGTATACTGCTCGATAGTACTCTCCTCATCAGAGCAATACTTTGGGCATTACTTCTTTCCTACCTGCTAAGGATAGCCTCCAAATCAAAGATATCCTCTGAGGTACTCTGCAGTATAGAAATATGTATATCTGCATTACTCCCCGGTCAACCTAGACTTTTATGTCTGGAATTAGTGTCCTAGTCGATGCTTCATGCTTCATTAGTGTTCTATCTTCGCCACCACCCTATGAACGACACTTCTTATCATCAATTCTAGCTTCTGCACCCTTCTTATAAAGGTCGAACATCTTTCATTAGATAGCAAAGCAATTTCAGGGTTTCTAGCAACCATCGCCACTACCTCAGTCGAGAGATCAAGCGCAGTACCGCATTCATCCAGCACTTGATCGTCAATACATATCATCAGACTATTAACTAAGAAACACAGGTTCTTTATCAGCGCTGTTTAAAAAAAATTATAGGGGTCAATTATGAAACTAGTGACATCGTGATAAAAAAAAAACATCCGTTGACAATGTCACTTAACTGTTTCAAATAGCTAGTTTAAATAAATGATGTTAATAAATACTCTTGCCTAGAGCTACATATTAATTCCTTTAAAATTAAAACAAAAATTGAGCATGTTCTCTATTATGGGCCTTTGAAAGTGTCATGTTTCAAGTGAACTGCTGCAATCTCTAATTTTTGTTAATACCTACATGTCCTTTCCATTCTCTTATGCCACTCTTCTCCTGAAAACTTGACCAAATGTCACACGCTTCCCCAACAAATAAAAATATATGTGTTTCAGAAGAACGTTGATATACTTCTAGGGGATAAAGTAGATCAAAGAATAACACGAAAACTTCATACATATAATCCTGAGTCCTAAAATGTCCCCTTGCCGAGATACTAGGTGTACACCCAGACCTGACATGATAGCCAGTACATGCAAAAATTGACATACCCGAAACTACACTTGCTGCGTATATATGAGAATTTTTCTGCATTTACAGAAGGATAAATAACATCATTGTCTGCGCCACCCACTACCAAGTTGGTCTGAATATTTGGGGTAAATTCTTCATAGAAAGCTTCACCTGTACTACTTTGAAGATACGCTGCCGTTAACGAAGTACTGTCTAGGGAGGTAACCCTTTCTCACCCTAGCGTTATTTGAACAATGTCCATGTCTTATCCGTATTCAATCTCATCAGTGGCATAGACAATTTACACCCTTTATCTTGGTAATGGGATGTTTTAGGAACTACGTTTAGGGTGAATTTCACCAGGATTGTCAAATCAACAGTCCGTCAAATACAGCGAATGAGCTTCAAGTTGCAATCAACAAATTTCAGCAACCAATAGCTATGAAATGTTGAAAACAAAATACTGTCAAAGTATGAGATGACAGCTTGTCATTGAAACATCAGCTTATTTAATATTAAGAAATTACATATGATTTAGTCGAAATTTAAAAAAGTGTTCGATTTTTGAGTAAAATTCGTTTTTATTTAATATTGTCGATTGTTTATTCATGTTTATATTATTTTATTCTATTGATATCCGATTTTACTGATTCAACATCACCTACCGTGTGTTCTTTTCCTATAAACCTCTTACAGATAGCCATTAAGCACCTACTTGATGACAGGCTCTACCAAAAATTTCATAGATATTACTCGTTTCCAAACATTCATTTATTCACATGCCGTTCATCAGTACCATTATAGCACCGTCGATTGATATTCCCACAAAACCATTCAGGATTTTTGATATCCATACATCCATAGTCAAATATATTTTGGTTGTTTAGGAACTGAACAAACATGCAAACTATATTTACAGCGATTAAGAAATACTCAAATATATCTCGTAACGCTACCAGCAAACTTAAGACCTGCAAAAAAATAGGATTTGCAATAACTTTCTTATTTCACTGAGTACACATTCTAGGTTATATTTATATTAGACATTATTATAACAGCTGATTATTACAT